GGCTGACACCACGGCACTCTAGTCAGGGCAACACAGCCAGACTCTGTCTCAAAAAAAAGGAAAAAAAAAAAGTACCTATCTAATTTTACTCCGTAACTTGGCCATTCTGGTTGAACATTCAACTATGCAAGCAATGTTATAAGAAGGTACTTTAAGAACCCACTGATTTTCTAATATTTCTGGGTCATGTGTGTATTTACTCATTCAATAAATTTACTGAAAGGATACTAGATATCAGACACTAAGCTGGGTGCTCTGCATGTTATTATTAACCACATCTTTGCACAGAAATAAAACATATCAAAGCACAGCTCTGGAAAATAGAAAAGCAAAATTTGAGTTGTTTGGTCAGACATTCTGCCTTGATTCATTAAGTAGATCTTACAGCTAAATTTCCATTACTGCACATGGATTAGTGATGTGTAAGTAAAAGCTAGAATTCTGAATGTCTAGTAGAATTTGTAGGAATTTCCTAGGCCTCATTTTTTCTACTCACAGGCCTGTGTTAACTCAATATTTCCACTCAAGGTACATGCACACTGGCAGCACAATTCCTATTCATTACTATCTTACTTTGGATCCTAGTTAAGATGCCTTTCAATATCCATTCATCAACCAAGTCATATGCCCCTCTCTTCTTTGGGAAAAGGATAGGAATTGGAGGGGAAATGTGGAAAAGGTTGGGAGGAAGGGAGTGCCCAACACAATAGGGTAGGAAATGGATCTCATCTGCCACCTCCATTCCCATTCCCAAGAAGTAGCACCAGGTTCTGTTTCTGGCTTTACTGGCAGTTAGAACCACAGTGTTGAATAATATACTGAGAGCTCTGCTTCTGGGTCCATTAACCCTAGATGGTGTCTAGATGAGGCATTCATACTTCTACTACTTTCCATGTTTCCTCCATTAATCATCACCAATTTTTGTGATATTACCATTTTTAATTCTTCTAGTGGCTAGTTACTTTCAAACTTTAAACTTCAAAATTTGTTGATTTATAAACCTAAGATAGTATCTATTAACTTTTCACTAAGTATGATAAGATACAGGTAGTAGGAGAGTAAACTACTATAAGCACTTTGGAAAGAATTTAGTAACCTCTAAAGATGTACATCAATATATAAGGTATATATGCCCTAAAAAATCTCACATAAATGCAAAAGAGACATGTAAAACAATCGCTGCTACAATATTACGTAACAGCTAGAAATAGCCAATAATCTAAACAGAGTAATGAACAAAAAAATGTTATGGTACTACTATGTGGAATATTATACATAACAGTGAAAGCAAATTGAATGAGACCCTCATACTCACTCAACAGGGATACAGATACAACGTTAAGCAAATAAAGGAAGTAGCAGTAAGATTTGCACAATGTGACCAACTTATGTAACATTTAAAAACACAATATGTCTGTTCCCAAAAGTGTGTTAGCCTGTAATTTTCAGGTAGCAGAACCTACATTATGTTATTAAAAATAGAAAAAATGATAATATGCTCCTGGCTTATCCCAAAACTGCAAACAATTTACTCCCAAACCACTAAAACACTATTAAGTACCTACATAACAATCCACCAAGAATTTCTGTAAACTACAAAGCATCTAAAATACCAACTACCTATTTCAACCCCTGAAAACTTGGGTACACTTGCATGCCTTACTCAGTGATACTGCACAGCGTGAAATCCATTATATTTCCCACATACGCATTAACTTATCTCAAGAAGCTTCAGCACTACATTTTCTTCAAATGTAGAGACTGTTTGGGGCCTCTTAGGCTCACCGACTTTCTTCATAGGCTTTTCCACATGTCACAGGACATTTTCATTAGTAATGTGAGGAAGATGACTGAGATATTGCACAGCACATTTAAACAAAGTAGACAGGAGACATGGTCCTATCAGGAAAAGAGCTGAAGTGTGACTAAAGTGCACTCTACAGCCTCTTCCCCAGACTCATACACAACTGAAAACGCTTTTAGTGCTGTGCAGATGAAGATTTATGATAGTGGGTTTTGAATCGAACAGTTAAATCTCATAAGCATTTTTATAAGTTGTTGTAACAGTAAAATATAAAAGTACAGAAGAATTTCAGAATAGTGATTATCTCTGGAGAAGGGGCAAGAGAAATAGGATCAGGAAAAGGTAATAAAAGAGTTTTAGATGCCTTCCCATTTCTTCTTAAAAAGTGAGATAAATAGGGTGAAATATTAACATTATTAAAATATGGGTATCCCTACCCATACATTATTTCCTGCACCTTTTCATCAACTCTGAAGGGTCTTAACCTATCTGAAAGAGGCCACACACCTGCCAATACTAAGCAGCCCACAGAAAAACTATTCAAGAATTTGAAACTACACAGGGCAAGAGAAGCCTTTCTTCATAGGCTTTTCCACATGTTCCTAATACCCTTGCAAGACTGCCTCTTGTCAGAACTTCCATGCTCTGCACAACCTGCACCACACCCCAACCTCATCCTTAACCACTTTACCTTGTACTATTATGCTCTGGCCACAGAGG